GAAGATTCTCCATAGGAGCAACATGTATTGGCAAGTTGATAATATAAGGAGTAGTTTACTAACTTATAAGCACATACAAAATCCTTTTTTTTTTCTCGATGTGAGTTTAATATCCTCAACATAGAGATGGCTTGATGTGTGCTTTGTATATGTCTGTTGCGTCTATTATCACTGTAACAGATTTGTACTATTACATTTGTTTTGTGTGATAGATGTTTAGAAGTTCTATTCTTTTTGTTGTTTGTGCGAATTGATATTCAAAATCAAGGATTTGGTCACTAAAATATATGTATCCATTTTAGCGCCCCTTGTAACCATTTGTTTATCAATGAAATCATGCTATATATCATTTCGGATAAAAAAAAGATAGACATCTATTTATTATATTATATCGTGATAAACGTTACACAAGCAAATCACAAACATATTTCTTACCAAATCACTTTCTGATACATCAAAATCAATCTTCAATTTAAATGATTAATCAAATCAATACGATTCGTTTTCCTTTTAAGCATGTATTCTTTGTACAGTAATTCAACATGCTTGTAATTATATGTACAATTGAAACCACAACTAATCAAGAACATATACCCAGAATTCTATGCTTCTCTTGCCTTCTCTATATTATCTTTCACGGTAATTACATACATACATACACACACACACACACACACATATATATATATGTATATATATATATATATATATCTCTCTCTGAAAATATGATTTTAGCTCTTGAAATTCAATTTTTTTTATATAAAACCCGACAGTCTTTTTACTTGAATAAAACCCAATGACTATGCTCCACATAAGCAAATTCATTAATTATGTTTGTGTGAACACGGAAAATTCCTGAAACGAAAGAGACAAGAACAACGTGCACAAACAAATATTTGTGTTTTGATGATTTTGGGTTACAATCTCTCTCTATTTTGATCCTCTGATTCGATCTCCGTAAGGTGTTGATTTGTGGGATGTGCGATTGATCCAAGGGCCGTTGAGGCTTGATCTTGGATGAACGAGGATGAACGGATCTTCAAGGGCTTTTGGGCTTGATCTTGAAGAATGGTGATTGACGGATCTTCAAGGGCTTTTGGGCTTGAACTCGAAGAACAGTGACGAACGGATCTTCGAGAGCTTTTGGGCTTGAACGGATCTTCGAGGGCTTTTGGGCTTGATCTCGAAGAACAGTGATGAACGATGAACGCTTTCTTCAAGGGCCGTCGGGGCTTGGGCTTGATGAACAGCGGATGAGCGGATTTGTTGGTGTTGTCGATCCAAAGGGGCCGTTGGGGCTTGATCCTTGAGGATGAACAGTTGATGAACGATGAACGCTTTCTTCAAGGGGCCGTTGAGGCTTGGGCTTGAAGGTGGATGATTGTTGATCCAAGGGCCGTCGGGCTTGATCTTGGAAGAACGATGAACGAAGAACGCTTTCTTGATTCTTCGGGAACCTGGATGCTTGAGAGCTTCGGAGTTTCAGAGCTTCCGAGCTTCAAGAGTTTTGCCTAATGATTTTTGGTTCCCCCAAATGAATGAAATGGGCTTGTATTTATAGAATTTTCCAAGGCCTAATTTTGAATATAATATCCCAGATGAAATAAGTCGTTTCTGCCAGGTGTTGACACGTGTCCTATTTGATGACTTTTCCAACTCATTTCAATTTTCGTTGAGTCGCACGCTACGTGTAAAATTTATGTAATACATGAGCGTTGACACTTTGATTTATCGGTCAACATTTATTTACCGAAATTTCGATGTCTACAAATGCCCCCACTTCAAGGCGCGTCGTGTACATGTGTTTATCGCGTGTAGGAGATGCGTTTTGAAGTCCCTTACTGTAGACGTCGATCCAAGGGCCGTCGAGGCTTGATCTTGAATTGGGCTGGAAATTTCTTCAAGGGCCGTTGAGGCTTAATCTTGAATTGGGCTTGAGATTTCTTCAAGGGCCGTTGAGGCTTGTTCTTGAACTTTTGTTCGAAATTTCTTCAAGGGCCGTCGAGGCTTGATCTTGAAGGTTGAAATTTGGACCACAAGGAGCTTCATGTGGTAGATGATCTTTGGCTTTGGTAGTAGATGAATCGGCACGTTTTTTTTTGTTTTTTTTTTTGTTGACTTTCCACAGCTTTGATCTTGAACTGGGTTGGAGGATTTTCTGGATTCCTCCAATTGTTGATTTTCCATAGCTTATTCTTGAACTAGGTTTTGATTCAAGGGTGGTAGACACTTGATCTTGAATCGGACTTGTGATTTCCTCGATGGCCGTCAAGGCTTGATCTTGAATTTGGCTGGAAACTTCTTCAAGGGCCGCTAAGGCTTGATTCTTGAAGGTTGACTCGAACACATGGCAAGCAGGCACGAGGTAAAGGTGACAACCTGTTTCTTTGTTCAAACTTTCTAATTCACACCTGAGCAGTTTGGTCAACGGTATGATCTTCAAGATTGATGGGCTTTTCTTCCAGTTGGTGACTTGATCTTTAAGGATTCGATTCAAGGGTGGTGAATCGGCACGTGCAGCCCACAACGCCTAGTAAGTCGACCCAAGAATTTGAGGGTCAAAACGAGTTCTTCATCTCAGACTCTTCCTGCCGAGTTGACTGTGCATGCTGCATTCTTCTCTGCTTGTTTCTTCAGGCAGATATGGTAGCTTCTCGAGTTTTTCAGCTCGGACTCCTTCTGCTGAGTTGACTGTGCAGACTGCATTCTTCTCTGCTTGTTCCTTCTGCACCTTGTCTCCACATGCTGCAAGGTATCATTTTCACTTGCCTTATCTGTTCTCCAGGCAGATGTGGCAGCTTCTTTGGAAGTACAGCAGCAGTGGGAAACGAGTACTCGAGAGCAGTGCTAGGTAGGCAATCAGGGAAGGGTTCCAAGCAGTCAGTTCCTTACCCGAGTTTGAGTGGAGGTTCCGGCATATTGTTTTCTTTATCCTTGTCTTTGTAGGTAAGAACAAGGACAAAGGAAAGGACAGGGCGAACGCATGATATGAGATACTCTTGCTTTCTACCCTGGTGATATGAGATACTTTTGCTTTGGAGTCATTGGCTTGCAGATGTACCCCAAGGAATAAGGAACATTGAATGACTCGAGAGGCTTAGTTGGGAAAGCATTTTTTGGAGATGAAGAAAGGCTCTGTATGTCTGCCTTGCTATGGAAGGCGAAGGTAGACAATTATAGGAAGTTCTTTGATACCTGTAGAGGTACTATTCTTTCACTCGTGTCGGCAACCAATGCGTGATTGATCTATATGGCTTCACGTGCTTTCTTCTTTATCAGAAATCTTCGACAAATTGTCCGTAATTTCCGCCAAGCTGAGTGTGCATGTGACAGGTGTTGACGCGGCTGAAAAAGACTGGTGCCTCTTCGATAACTGGGATCGGCGCTTCGAAAAATTACCCGTGATTTCCGCAAAGCTGAGTTTGCGTGTGATGGGTGCTGACGCGTCTGGAAAAGCAAGATGCCTCTCCGATTTCTGAGCTTGCCTCTTCGATTTTTGAATGGCCTCTTCGAACTCTGAGCTCGCCTCTTCGATCTCTGAAATGCCGTCGAGTGCTGATTTTATAAAGGCACGCAGTTCGTTTCAAAGCACACTTCGCTTGTGAAAACTCCCCTCTTGTACTTCTAAGATCTTGATTTATCCGATCTCTTCTTCCTTCAACACTTTGAAAATGTCTGGACCCTCCGACCGTCGTTTTGACTTGAATCTTGGTGAAGAGGCAGTCCCGCCTTCTCCAGACAACATATGGCGCCCATCATTCATATCCCCTACTGGTCCTCTTACCGTTAGGGATTCGGTGATGAAAAATGATATGACCGTTGCGGTGGTGGCCCGGAACCTTGTCACTCCCAAAGATAACAGACTACTTTCCAGGCGGTCTGATGAGTTGGCTGTTAAGGAGTCCCTGACTCTTAGTGTGCACTGTGCGGGTTCTGTGTCCAACATGGCCCAACGCCTATTTGCTCGAACCCGTCAAGTTGAATCGTTGGCGGCTGAAGTGATGAGTCTCAAACAGGAGATCAGAGGGCTCAAGCATGAGAATAAACAGTTGCACAAGCTTGCACACAACTATGCCACAAACATGAAGAGGAAAATTGACCAGATGCAGGAATCTGATGGTCAGATTTTACTTGATCATCGGAGGTTTATGGGTTTGTTCCAGCAGCATTTACCTTCGTCTTCTGGGGCTGTACCGACTGTTGAGGCTTCAAACAGCCAACCTCCGGCGCCTTCTCTTCCTGGAGCTCTGCTGAGTTGTGAGGCGCCACCTGATCGTCCTTGAATATCCCCTCTTGTAAATTTGATTTGATTTGATTTTTTTTTTTAATTTATGTATAATGCAAATTTATGTAAAATTTCCAGAAAAATAAATAAAATAGACCTTCTATTTCTCTCTATGCGTTTTTTTTGCTATATACATACATATATCATGTATGTGTGTATATATATATATTTTTTATTTTATTTTATTTATTTATTTATTTTTTACGTGGACTGATCCACCATTCCAAAACCCTTCCCTTTTCTTTTGCATGGTGCTAGCCACCAAGAATCCACCTTCTCTTTTTTTTTTTTTTTTTTTTATTATTATTATTATTTTTTATTTTATATATATATAATTTTTTTTTTTTTGCTTTCACATGGTGCTGATCCACCATTCCCCTTTTCTTTTCTTTTTTCACGTGGTGCCAGCACCACTTTGCTCCACCATCCCCTTTTTTTGTTTTTTTTAATATATTTTTTCTGTATAAATTTGGGTGGTGGATAGAGGAATTTGCAGGGAGCGGAGCAAGGAGGCCGAGAAGATGGTGCTTCGAGCTTCATGACCGGCTAGTCGTTTGACAGCGGTCTTTGAAGTTGGTGGCAGCTGCGAGGCAAGAGACGGAGGAGGGTGCAAGAGAAGAGCGGTGCAGCCTTGATGTCGGAGACTTTGGGGTCGCCGTTACTGCTTGGAACTGATGGGCAGAAGGGGATTGCCGCTCATTGTTGATGGGCCCATTCATGTCGTTTGAAACAACACCAGCTTGCCCGTGAACACCGTATTGATGAGCCACCTCAAGCCCGTATGTGGCTCCAGCCCAACCGCAGAGACGGCTTGAAGGATCTGAGCGCCGGGGATGGGGGAGAGTACGGCAAGCTTGCAGAGGTGGAAGAGGAGCTCCGCCTGGGAGCGCTGATCGTTGGCGGAATACATGAGGTGGGAGATCAAGGAGGGCGATGCGGCCCTGGCGGTCGCCTGCGGCGAGGAGGAGGTGGGAGCTGGAGGGCTCGGTGGAGAGGAGATCGCGGCAGAGAGGGAGCGGGGTCCAGCGGACGGAGGTGACGAAAGGGGAGAGGGGGGATGAGGTACATCAGAGTAAAGCTTGCCGATGTTCTGGAGGGTCGAATCTGATTGGGAGATTACGAGAGCAAGCACCAAAGGAGATGAGACAGATGTGCCAATTGACGGCATCAGCTCTTCCATTGAACACATTATGTGCACCTGCCCTCCTTCTTTTCGCCGCCAAGTACTGAGCATCAATGTCAAGATCCACTTCTTGCGCAGTTGCTTGGAAGTTGGGGTTACTCTGTGCATCAATTTCTAAAGCCTTGCTGAGATCTTCGGCAGATAACTGCGAGAGAGCTGTCCCGAGTTTTCTTTTATCATCCGAAGACATTTTCCTGCACTTCTGAACCACTGTTTGTCTGAGGTTCCTCAAATACACATCAATCTCAAAAAGCTCATTGCTTAGATCCTTAGCCGTGCTGGCAAATGTAGCATCCTGAGATAGTTGCATGTTTCGCCGTGCCTCTGCTTCCTCGTCTGCTCGTCTTGTTTCCTCTTCAACAACTTTAGGCAGAAGCTTTAGCCATTTTTCTTCGAAATTTTGCAACAACGATTGGGCCATCACATAGACATCCTCACCTTCATCATTATATTTCATTGCATTCTTGAAAACCAGCCTCACATCAGCATATATCTCTCCGACATTCTTATACTCACTACCATCCTTGGTTTCCATTCTATTTTTTATGGTACCAAGGTCCATGGGCTTCTCAATGACTTGATAATAGTCATGCAATCCCAGACCTTCAACATCTACAGGAACCATAAAGGGCCACGCCCAGTCATGCTTAGTGATCTGACGGAACATTACAGAAAATTGGCGCATAAGCTCTTGCATTTTCTTTGTAGCAGCGGCTTCCCTACGTGATGCATCTTGCTGCTGCTTCTTAGAAGCAGTTAACTGTTTATCCTTCATGACTGCAACACCTTTTGAAGTGGGTAGATGCGGATATTCCGTAGTCAAGTAAAACCGTTCCACCTCAGCGGCAGAGACGAAGGGGATGAAGTTGTCGGTTCGTCTTTGAGGATTTTGGATATGTCAAACTCGGCATAGTTGTTGGACTGGCCGGCCGGGTCGGCGTCTTTTTGGTTGGTTTCGGGGGTGGCTTCCACGAGCACTCGGTGGGGCTCCACGCGCCGGTTGTGAGTGTAGAAGCGTTCGCGGATATCGTTGAAGTCCTGCTCTGGTGTTCCGAACTTCCCGGCGTCGATTGTGCCGCGCAGGACGACGACGGTTAAGAACAAGCACAGAAAAGTCACTGTTCCGTGCCGCAGCGCCCTCTGGATCTGACGGACCCGGCGAAGCCCTAAGAACCGGTCCAGCATTCTGACTCCCCCAAGTTGAACTGGAAGGTCGATCGGGAGAAACTGGAATTGACTTTCTTCTTCCGTGGTGAGCGGAAAGGGAATATATGGCCAACGGATGAGTGTGATGATGATTCTGATTGTATTGAGATTAACACTCTGGAGGAAATCGGGGAGCCGTCGGGTTTGGTGAATCCGGACCCCGACCTCACCGCCTTCGTCGCTCTCTGTGCTTTGGAGGGAAGCCTGGGCTTGGATTTGGGCTTTGAGAGCTGGGCCTAGGCCTAGGCCTGGAGGGAGAGGAATCTGCATTACAGCATGTTTAAACACATTTATGTGTTTAAGAAGTGATGGGCTTTGGTGAGACTGGGCCTTTTGCTGACTTTTTTTTTTTTTTTTTTTTTTTTTTGAAGAAACTGTAATTTAATTTTGTACAAAGAAAATTGCAAATTTTCTTAACAAAATAAATTTGTGATAAAATTGACCTTCTTTAATAAAACATTTATTCTTTTTTTTATTTTGATGTGACTGAACTCGAAAAAATTGATCATTCGAGCTGCCTACGTACCCCTCCAAAGAAGAGATCAAGTCGTAACGTAGTTCAAATACATTTTTTTTTTTTTTTGGTATTTTCTTTTGGTGCCGTTTGCAGTTTCAACTCGTGCAGACAAGGAGTGTTGGTGTCGTTTGTCGTTTGCAGTTTCAACTCGTGCAGACAATGAGCATTTGGTGTTGCCTTTTATGCTCGTGCGGATCATGAGAGTTGATGTCGCCTTTTATGCTCGTGCGGATCAGGAGCGTTGATGTCGCCTTTTATGCTCGTACGGATCAGGAGCGTTGTGCCATGCAGTTTAGGCTCGTGCAGGCGAGGAGCCTCGTGTCCTACAGTTTAGGCTCGTGCGGACAAGGAGCTTTTGGTTCGTGCAGTTTAGGCTCGTGCGAACAAGGAGCATTGTGTCTTGCAGTTTAGGCTCTTACAGACAAGGAGCTTTGGTGAATTTGTCAAGCAATTTTGGAGAGGCGTTCCTCATAATCTTCATAGCAAGGAGCCTTGACCGAGTGATTGAAGAAGTCTTCAGGAAAGAAATCACGCATTGTGATAGGGATGGACGATCTATGTGTCGAAATTTCATCATTTTCAACACGTTCATGTTGCTTTGAAGGTTGACAAGAGCTGCTTTGCCCCCTTTCCAATTGGCGGACATGTGGAGGAGACGTATGCTTCTTGTGCAATTTCTTAGGAGTGACTTGAGTCCATCCTTCAATTTTGCTTGTCTTGGAGGATGCCCCCAGCGGTTGAGGTGAAAACTTTGAGTCGGAAGAGCTAAAAGTGGAGGTGGTATAGTTTGACTCCACCATATCGTCAAGATCTAGCTCGATGATTCCTTTCTGAGCTAGCTTCATGATGAGATCTTTTAGCACGAAACATTTTTCTGTCGGATGACTGATGAAGCGGTGGAATTTACAGTATCTTAGACTGTCGGTACGATTCATCTCTTCCGGCCGTCTGCACTCAAGCAGACTGATCACCTTCTTGTCCAACAGGTCATCTAACATGGCAACCACATCAGAGTCGGGGAATGGATAAGTCTTCTCCTCAAGCTCCTTCTAAGTGCGTCTACGCATCTCTTGATCATGAAAAGCTTCGGTTTGAATCGCCTTGCCTCGTGTGGATATTTTGACGGGAGATGTGTTTACCGTCATCGCTTCCTTGGTGGGTTTCCATGCAGCCTTTTCCATCTTTGTCCCAAGAACTTTGTCGTTCTTGTAGTCGGCGATCGGTTCTTTCTTCCCATGATGGGCGATGCTCAACTCCATGTCATGGGCGCGAGTGGCCAATTCCTCGAAGGTCCTTGGTTTAATGCCTTGAAGGATGTATTGCAAACCCCATTGCATGCCTTGGATGCACATCTCGATTGAAGAGGTTTCCGAGAGCCTGTCTTTACAGTCGAGGCTTAGAGTGCGCCATCTGTTGATGTAGTCAATGACTGGCTCGTCCTTCCACTGCTTTGTGCTCGTTAGCTCTAGCATGCTCACAGTGCGGCGGGTACTATAGAAGCGGTTGAGGAATTCCCGCTCTAATTGCTCTCAACTGTTGATGGACTCAAGCTCCAGATCCGTGTACCACTCAAAGGCGTTTCCTTTCAGCGAGCGCACAAACTGCTTGGCGAGGTAATCTCCTTCGGTTCCTGCGTTGTTGCAAGTTTCAACGAAGTGGGCAACGTGCTGTTTCGGGTTTCCCTTTCCATCAAATTGCATGAACTTTGGTGGTTGATAACCCCTCGGCATCCTTAAGGCGTCGATCTTCTTTGAATACGGCTTTGAGTACAACCCGGAGGTATTTGAGCTTCCTTCGTACTGTGCCTTGATGGTGTTGGTGATCATCTCTTGCAGCTGCTGGATAGAAAGAGATCCCATGAGTGCCGCTGCTTGGTCTGGCTCGGGCTTCGCATCGTTTTTCTCCACCTGAGGCTCATCTTCTGGGTTAGGGTTCTCGTCGTCCTGTGGCTCCAGTCGGCTGACGAGTGCAGCGATTTGCAAGTTTTTTTCTTCCACAGTTCGGGTTAGCCTTGCGATTGCTTCATTCATCTGAGCCAGTTGTTCTTCAACGGAGGTAACGCGGATAGTCATGACTTGTGCGACCAATAGACGTGACTTTCCTTTAGACATCCAGGATGCTGATGAAGAACGTCGTTGGCTGCTTTGGGATGTCATCTTATGTGCCTCAGCATCATGCTTCGGTGCCCCTAGCGAGGTCAGGTTGATGACAGACTCACACCTTGGATGCTCCCCTTGCTCTTTTAGCGGCACTAATTTTGAAGTGGCATGTTGAGGAGCGGTTGTGGCGCCAATGGATTGTCCATTTGCGGCAGAAGTGCTTAGGATCCTTCCCTCAATGGTTGCGAGAATGGCTTGTCCCTTGCTTGATGCCATTGACTTTGAGGTGTGCTTGGATTCCTTGAACGGAGAAGAGATGAGAGGTAGAGATTGTCCCACCGAGCGTGCCAATTTGTGAACACGAAAAATTCCTGAAACGAAAGAGACAAGAACAACGTGCACAAACAAATATTTGTGTTTTGATGATTTTGGGTTACAATCTCTCTCTATTTTGATCCTCTGATTCGATCTCCGTAAGGTGTTGATTTGTGGGATGTGCGATTGATCCAAGGGCCGTTGAGGCTTGATCTTGGATGAACGAGGATGAACGGATCTTCAAGGGCTTTTGGGCTTGATCTTAAAGAATGGTGATTGACGGATCTTCAAGGGCTTTTGGGCTTGATCTCGAAGAACAGTGATGAACGGATTTCCGAGGGCTTTTGGGCTTGAACTTGAAGAACAGTGACGAACGGATCTTCCAGAGCTTTTGGGCTTGAACGGATCTTCGAGGGCTTTTGGGTTTGATCTCGAAGAACAGTGATGAACGATGAACGCTTTCTTCAAGGGCCGTCGGGGCTTGGGCTTGATGAACAGCGGATGAGCGGATTTGTTGGTGTTGTCGATCCAAAGGGGCCGTTGGGGCTTGATCCTTGAGGATGAACAGTTGATGAACGATGAACGCTTTCTTCAAGGGGCCGTTGAGGCTTGGGCTTGAAGGTGGATGATTGTTGATCCAAGGGCCGTCGGGCTTGATCTTGGAAGAACGATGAACGAAGAACGCTTTCTTGATTCTTCGGGAACCTGGATGCTTGAGAGCTTCGGAGTTTCAGAGCTTCAGAGCTTCAAGAGTTTTGCCTAATGATTTTTGGTTCCCCCAAATGAATGAAATGGGCTTGTATTTATAGAATTTTCCAAGGCCTAATTTTGAATATAATATCCCAGATGAAATAAGTTGTTTCTGCCAGGTGTTGACACGTGTCCTATTTGATGACTTTTCCAACTCATTTCAATTTTCGTTGAGTCGCACGCTACGTGTAAAATTTATGTAATACATGAGCGTTGACACTTTGATTTATCGGTCAACATTTATTTACCGAAATTTTGATGTCTACAGTTTGACTTTACACATTTTTTATTTTCCAGATGCCTAAAATGCCCCTAATTACAATTTAATGTATACATTTAATTCTACGCAGATTTGAAGGGAGGGATTAATGAAAAAAATGTATTAATATTTAAATTCATTGCATATTAATATATCATAACAAATTGTATGTTAATAAATAAATAAACATTAATGTTAAACTTTCCTTTAGATTTCATAATTGTTTTCCAAATTTGCATGAAATTAGACAATTTTAATTTAATCTTGTCATTTTCTTACCAAATGAAAACTAAAAAGGGACTATGGAGTAATTTACATAAAAATATAGGTAAATTATTTGGACATATGTGTTAGTAATAAAATATTGGGTGATTTTGTATAAAATCAATACAAAGTTACCATATTGACAATAGATCAACAATATTTATGTTAATTATAAATAGGTCAATCATATATTTGTGACACTTAAATACATTTAAAATAAACAAAAATTACAAAATCTGACATTACAGCTGGCACCCACTTCAACCGACACCAGATGTCTCATATTTCCTAATTCTGTTTTTTACATTTGAATTTAGACACTGTGTTGCAGTGTCCATTTCATAGTTTTGTTTTTTCCATCACTCACATGCCTCATACGTGCCCCTTTTTACATTTGGATTCAAACATTGTAATGTAGTATCTGTTACCTGGTATTGTTTTTTTATTTTTCGATTCAGACACTGTGTTGAAGTGTCCGTTTCCTGGTTCTATTTTTTGCATCACTCACATGCGTTCTATGCTTAACACCTCGCGTGACTCTTGATTTCTACATTTGGATTTAGACATTGCAACGCAATGTTCATTTCATGTTTTGTTTTTTACATTTGGATTCAGACACTGCAACACAATGTTCGTTTTCTGTTTTGGTTTTCAATTGTTGATCCTAGAAGTCTGCATTTTCTGATTTTGAATTGTTGACCACAATGTCTGTTTTCGCGTTATAGGCGCCTAAATGATGGTTGAAAAAACACGAATGTGTACGCAAACAGTTTCATGAAAGGGGTGAGAAAAAAAATCCAAACAGTTTCAATTGCTTAATTAGCAATCGAAATTGTCAAGCTCCAAGAATTTGCGAAACTGTTTCCTCTTTGATGCATCAAGTCGACTACAAAAAAATATTTTTTTATCCTACTCAAGTTTCATCATTGGTATCTAAATGTTTTCCTGACTTAATGAATTCTTTCTTCAAACATTGACTTTACAATATCATCACCCCATTGTGCTTTACAGATGTAAAGACCTTAAGAAGTTACAGAACTACACAGCCTTTCATATATGAGAAAGCACATGTCTTTGATCTCCACAAGTCCCAACTAAACACCGGCAGTCGAACCATTGAGAATCGACGTCACCGATTCCCAATTCTGCTAATTCCAATTCAAATTTAGAAGCTGAGGAGAGAGAGATAGCGATGAGTCCGTTGATAGTGAAGGCAGGGTTGGTGATAGGTGGGATGTGCGTAGGCAGGTACATACTGGGCCCACCTCTATACTGCCACTTCATGGAAGGCTTAGTCACTGTCTCCCACTTTTCTTCTTCCTCCTCTTCTGCTTGCCCTCCCTGCACTGGTGATTGCTCTTCTCACCATGTCCTTCATCCCCATTGGTAATGACATAAAGCACATGTGACATTCATTATTGACCTATCTCTAATTAATAAAAATATATCATTGATTAATTTCAAAACAAAAATATGTCATTGATATATGATTAAATTGTAAAGTTTTTGTTGACTTTTGGCTAAATTATCTTAAAATATTCCCGGTATATGTAATAATACATGCAAAATAATTTACCTACAAAATAAATAAATAAAATGTTATTTGATTCAATATTAATTTATCTATATTTGATATAATAAAATATAATTGCACATATATATTACTAAAATGTGCTCAATAATATATATATATATATATATATATATAGGACCATTAAGGGACGAGATCCCTATTTTTTATATAAAGAACCATTTATATATATATAGGAAACCTTTAAGGGACGCGATCCCTATTTTTTATATAAAAATGGGGATTAGTTGTGAGGTTCACACCACATTGAACTTTAACGATTTGAACCGTTTATTTTTCAAGTTGTACCTCATAGATCATCCTTGCAAAATATTAGTCAAATCAGAAATATTTAAGACATCTAATTGAGTTCAAAGAAATTTGATCTTGATAATTAAATAGGAAAATGGTATTGGATTGAATTGAATTTTTGTAAGGAAGATCTATGAATCGAGACTTATAAAATAGACGGTTCGGATCGTTGAAATTCGATATGGAGTGGGCCTCACACCTAATCCCCTTTTTTTTTTTCAAAACATGAGGATTCATTTGCATAAAGGGTCTGTGTATATATATAACTTTTAAAGGGGCCCTCTATTTGTAGCCGTTTGATCAAATTTTAAAGATTCAAATTAATAGATTGAATGACTGGTGGGAGAGATCTGGAGAGGATCTCTTCCCAAATCACACAACTTCTGCAGCCCACTGAACAAGAAACACAACGTGACATGCTGGAAACCCCACCACATATACAACTCAAAAGTTTCCAGATACTAAAACATCATTTGTTTCTTTGGTTGACCGTCTTTTCCCACCAAACTTAGGACCCAAGTTTGCTCCAAGTGCTCAACTGGGGCCTCCAAGCTTTGCCGAAAGTTGAAACCACTTAGGCTAGGCAACCAACTCATCATTCATTTCTTTATTGCCGATTTGCCATTCTCATTCCAAAAGCTAAATCTTTCTTAGTACTGATTTGGTACAAAGGTGCTTTTATAAAAAGTGGATATAAAAAAAATTGAGTTAAAAAAGGCGTTGGGTAAACACTAAAACACATCTTATTTTCACAGTTTTTGGTGAAAAAAGCTGAAAACGTGAAGCAGCAAAAATGAGTTTATTCTTACCGCACAATAGAAGCAGTTTTTTTTCAAAGCACAGCAATACCAAACCTAGCTGGCTGCTGTGACTACAATGGCATTTCCGGAAATTTAAACGAAAAACGAGAAAATTTATTTAGAGCAAAACAGAAAAGTAAGGTATCAAAGCTTCTTCCATAAGAACCATCATAGATCATACCCTCATTTGCCTTATCATTCCAGCGAAGTTTTTGTGTAAAGAGGAAACGATGATTTCGTTACGGTCCAATAATTCTATGTCACGCCGGACGCTGGCAAAGAAGTTTGGCTGCGGGAAGAGGGCGTGGAGGAGCTTCACCGCTAAAGTACAATCGAAACTCCACAAGCTCACCATCCCCAAGGCAATCAAAACCACCGCCAGACGCCTCTGTGCCTTGCGGAGCAAGTTTCATTTTCTCATCCCATCCAAACTCTGCGCTCTCACCAGAAGTTCCTCTGGCTTCCCTAGTAACCGATACTATAACCATCACTATATCTTTGAATCCCGCATTGATTATGCACAGGGAAGATCTAGCTACCAGTACCACAACAAGCTTCATCATACTAAGAATACGGCAGCCATACACATAGACGAGCTCTTTGAAGAGCCTGCCGCCTGTGTGGACGCCAAGAAGGATCCACATTTTGGTGAGCAAGCAGAAACGAGCAAAGGAAAACAGGCAGTCGATGTGGACGATGACTTGAAGGTTGTGACAAGAGATAAGAAGAGTATGTATAGCGTTGAAGATGCGTGGCAGGCGGTGGTTGCTAAGTCGCCTCAGCTGCGGGTGGTGGATGAAAGAGCGGAGGAGTTCATTCACAAGTTTAGGCAAGACATGAAGCTTCAGAAGGAGAAATCCCTTCTTGAGTTCCAGGAGATGTTGGCTCGCAGTTCTTAAATTAATTATAATTAGCTTTATCACCTTGGTTAGTTTCATTTTTTTTCCAATACAAAATATGGAAGTGATTGAACAAGCTTGGAGGTTTGCTGGTTTTTGGGTTTCGGGGTTTGACGAATACAGTGGTTTTCTGCAGCAAGTGTGAAGATGCATAGAAAGTTTTAGGTTTTCTTTTAATTTTTATTTAATTCTTTTTTGCGGGGTTTCATATAAATGGAAATGATTTATTGTGGATTGGTGAATCGATCGAAAATTTAAGATTAAAGATTTTGTGTGTGGATCTGAAATAATGAAATGATTTATGTCTAATATATAATGCATTACTTTGTTGAAGTCGATTATTGAATAAATGGTGAGTCTAAATTTGGTTGTAAGTAGTGTACGTGATTTGGATAAACTCCAACCATTGATTTCCCATGAGAAACTTGTGTTTTATATAAATACATAAATTTGCACATCTTCACCCCTTTTGAGAGGTTTAGTTGTGATCATAGGTAACCGATTAGCATATATCTAAACAATAAATAATATAATATGTATAATGAAGTAAGGACCGTAGTAAGAACTCATGAAGGACAAACTAATAACCATAAGGTTACACAAATGCTCAACTTTAAGTCCTTACTTTTTGGCATTGGTAATGGACGAGTTAATAGGACATATTCAAGATGATATTCCTTAGTGTATGCTTTTCGGAGATGATATAGTATTGATAGATAAAAACAGGAGGGAGTAAATGTGAAGTTTAACCTTTGTCGGGAAGTGTTGGAATCTAAAGATCTTCACATAAGTAAGTCAAAGAAAAAATATATGGAGTGCAAGTTCAGTGAAAAAGGGTCCAAATGAGATAGGAATGAGGATTGGAGACCATGAAGTACCAAAAAGCGAACTCTTTTGCTATCTTAGATCTATCTTACAAAAGAGTGGAGAATTAGATGGGGATCTCAACTATAAAATATAAGCTAGATGGATGAAGTTGAAGAGTACATCAAGTGTATTGTACGATCGTCATATGCTATTAAAGCTTAAGAGAAAATTTTATAGGATGACAATAAGACCAGTAATGCTTTATGGCATAGAGTGTTGGGTAGTCGAAAATCTAAACGTGCAAAAAATATGGTTAGCAGAAATGACAATGCTTCATTGGATGTGTGGGCACGCAACAAAGAGTATGATTAAGAACGAGGATATTTGAGGTAAAGTAAGAGTGACAGCAATTAAAGTTATGATGCTAGAAAATCAGCTAAGGTAGTTTGGACACGTGAACTGAAAACCTACAGATGCTTTTGTTAGAAGATGCAGCTATAAAGAGGCTTAGGGCAAAAGGAGTAGAGAAAGAGACATTCCAAGTCTTTAAGAAAAGATATAGAGTACTAGGGGCTAGCGGACATATGATGCAAAGTCAAGCGCAATAGCGTTATAAGATTTATACAGCCGACCTCACTTTGTGGGATAAAGTTTTGTGGCGGTTGTTGTTTGTTGTTGGTTCTGCTTTGTTTTATTCAATCAATGAGCTGAAATAAAATATAGTTGTGTAGGAGGCCAGCATTTCAGTTTTTTTTACACTAGCAATTACCAATAGATGACTGAATCGGACATACAAAAACTCAAATGCTACAAGCCCCTTGCACATATTTGTATGTTAGTATCCTAGGATTTTCCCACTACTATAAATCATTCACAACTAATGTATTAATGCACCATAATTCACAGTATACTAGCATCCATGCACTCATGCCCACGCATAAGACATTTTTTGAATCACGACGTGCTACACGCGATTTACATGTTTTAAATATATTTATTAATGTACATGGAAATGAATAATAAATACATTTAATAAAAAACGGTCTTTTAACTAATTAAAGCAGCTAAATCCATATTAATAAAAACGGTCTTTCAATTTCCATCTACATTTTATTGAATTTACATTAACATTAGGAAAATAAAAATTAAATAAACAACTTATTGCTAGCCCATTGTGAGGCTAAATCCACTCACTCCCCTTAGTTTAGATAACATCGTTTGTTAAAAAAATGATTATTTGACAACGAATTGAATCACATTATTATGCGCGTGCGAGAGACTTTTTTATGACCGGCACTACGCACCTCTTAAATGTTTAAAATTTGAGAAATAATATTTAATAAACAACCGCGTGCAAGATGCATTTTTTGAATCACAGCGCTACACGCGACTTAGACATTTTAAATGTATTTATATGCGTAAATTGCTTCAATATTTTTTATTTCGTTATTTTCTTTTTTTATCACTGCCACTACACGCCTCTTAAGATGTTTTGAACACAACATTCATGATTTTTCTTATTTTTTATTATATTTTTCTTCCTCATCACGTGGGCACCAAAAATTTTGTCATTTGTTTACTATTTTCTCTCTCCCCATTTATATTTATATTATATTTTATGATGACCAAATTACCAACTTATCCTTGCATGATTTGATATATTATTTTGGGCAGGTTTTGAATTTTTTTGGCTGAGGGGCAGTTTAGTTCAATTATTTTTGTCGAAGCCAGTAACACCAAATTGAGCCTCCAGCTTTATATATAGATTAAGATGTACCAAAAAAAAAAAAAAGCTAGGTCCAAAGAGCTAAGACAACTGCATGTTTCTGCAAATATTTCTCGAAGCTTAATCGACAAAATGCTAATTAAGATTTATGTGCTTACACCTTACAGTACCCAGATGAAAGGCAAAACACAGTTGACTCTTTAATGCACAAATGCTTTCATGGGATCACCATGACGTATCTTTTTCATCCGATACACCTCCATCTCCTCAGGAGTAACCTACAAAATGCATGCCGTGGTGTAAAGACATTTATTGAGAAGTCGCGATACTCGAGCAACTTCATACAAAGAAAAGAAACCTAACACTAAAAATAAGAATAGTAAACACAATTGAAGCATAATGAGTAATTATTTATACCTCATCGTCAGATTTAACATTATATTTGCGTTTTCTTTCATCCTTCTCTTCCGTCCTTCTGTCATCCTCCTGGAAAAAGACGCGCATGAATAAACAATCAATAAAGTCCAGAAGCATAATGGCTAGTTTGGTGGTGATGTGAGTTGAGCCATATCTTAAATTAAATATATAACGTGACATTAAAAGTAGTAAATTGAAATGAAGCCCACGAAATGACATTCTTAAGAGCATCATCAAGTTTTTTCTGGTCAAGGACCAAGTCATCGGGTGTGTTAGCTCCCCAGGTAGCAGCCCTTTTTTCTTCTGTTGGAACAGGGGCCTCTGCAACAAATTTGAAGAATTAGTACACTAGGGTAATCATAATAAACAATGCTGAAATCAACAAGAACAAACAAAATAAAGAAAGTGCTGAAATCAACCACAATAAATGAAATCAGATGAAATTACTTCATATAGATAAAGCGCTCTGGGTGAACAATAAAAACAATGTTCACAAACATTAAATAAATAAACAAAAATATATGTGAAAGATACAAACCTTCAGAGGCTACTTTGTGGACAATGTTCACCTTCATTAGGTCTGCTGCTACCTTGGCCGCCTCAATTCCAGCTGCACCAGTGCAATAACTATTTCGAATTGTTTGCTTAGAACACTTGTATCCCCATTGGTGATCCTTCCACCATGATCCCCGAACACTTGTGTGGTTATTGATGTAAACATCCTCTTCATACTTACTCTTTAGAAGGGATGTCTTCTTCAAAGGAAAATCAGAACAAAAAACTGTTAATTTCCTTCCAAAGAGTCTACACCAGACCAATTGGACTACTGGACCATAGATGATGCTCTAACAAACTAGCACTTGCTTTAATTTCCTTAAAAGACATTTGATATCCAATAATATTTTAGTCACACATATTCACTGACAAAAATACTTATCATGCATAAGAGCATAATCTTTCAAACCCTCCGGCAATCTAACATTAAGGTGTGAGAAAGAACCTACCTAAATAGCTCCAAAATAATTTAGATCAATCATCCAGGAATCTAATTAGGATATTGACTAGCAACAACATATCAGCATCAAACAACAACAACAACAAAGCCTTTTCCCACTAAGTGGGGTTGGCTATGTGAATCCTAGAACGTCATTGCGCTCGGTTTTGTGTCATGTCCTCCGTTAGATCCAAGTACTCTAAGTCTTTTCTTAGGGTCTCTTCCAAAGTTTTCCTAGGTCTTCCTCTACCCCTTCGGCCTTGAACCTCTTTCCCATAGTCACATCTTCAAATTGGAGCGTCAGTAGGCCTTCTTTGCACATGTCCAACCCACTCATTCCTAATCTTATCCTTTCTCGTGAGCCCACACCTCCAACGAAGCATCCTTATCTCCGCTACACCCATTTTGTGTACGTGTTGATGCTTCACCGCCCAACATTCTATGCCATACAGCATCGTCGACCTTATTGCCGTCCTATAAAATTTTCCCTTGAGCTTCAGTGGCATACGACGGTCACACAACACGCCGAATGCACTCTTCCACTTCATCCATCCCGCTTGTATTCCATATATTCTGTCTTTGATCGACTTAGGCGAAGACCTTTAGATTCCAACACTTTTCTCCAAAGGTTAAGCTTCGCATTTACCCCTTCCTGAGTTTCATCTATCAATCATATATCGTTTACGTAAAGCATACACCGAGGAATAACATCTTGAATATGTCCTGTTAACTCATCCATTACCAATGCAAAAAGGTAAGGACTTGAAGATTGTTGATGCACAAAATCAGTGAGGACTTTGGTACAACAGAAAGTATTAAGTTTGTGACCTTCGCTAGATTGCTCCGGTCATTAGTGTGGATAAGTATGTAAATGGATAGAGACAGGAGAGCAAACACAAGATGTACGTGGTTCACCCAGATTGGCTACGTCCACGAAGTAGAGGAGTTCTCATTAATTGTGAAGGGTTTACACAAGTACATAGGTTCAAGCTCTCCTTTAGTGGGTACAAGTGAATGATTTAGTACAAATGGCATTAGGAAATATTTTGGGAGAATGATCTCCTTTTATAGAAGAGAGTTTCTAGCCTTGTTCTGACATTGACACGTGTCGTGTTGTGATTGGCTTCCAATGTTGACACGTGTCGCGCTATGATTGGCTTCTGATGTCGACACGTGTCGCTCTGTGATTGGCCTCCTGGTTGGAGGGGAAGCTCCTCAGTTGGGGACTTGCAAGATCCAAGCTGCTGAGTAATATGAAACTTCTAAGTACCGAAGTGTGGTATTGTCTTCACTTGCCTTATCTGTCTCATAGGTAGATGTGGCATCTTCTCTGGAAGTACTATTCCTCCGTCCAGGGGTGGTATCTT